TACTTGACTCCACGCACTGCCATCTAAGACTTTATACACTCGACCCCGTGACGTTACATAGCTCCAATTACATAGCTCCAAAACTCATGGCTAATGATGCTTTCGGGCCACTCGTCTTCTAGTTTTGTTATCATCTCAGGTGTGCATTCTCCGAGACACCAGGACCGTCTCAACGCTTGTGCCCCCAACGTGCTGATTCCATTGTCATGTTTTTCTGGGGGTGAACTTCGCGTGTTTGAGGCGGTCGCTCATCCTGATGCTGAGCAGCCCCAGCCTACTGCATCCCTGGCTCTGCTTCCCGTTGCATCAGGTCCGGTGTCCTTCAATGCTCGGGATTGCCCCCACGAAGTGCTGCCGTCTCAGGGACTGCGTGTGGTTCTCGCGGCCTACACTCTCGAAGCTGCACTTCATTTGGGTGCCTATCCTGCACTTCAGTCGGACCTTGCTGCATTAGGTTTCCCTTTGCCACCAGTGGACTTTGTGTACCCTGCCAGCGAGCTGCAGCCTAAACAGCTTGCCCTTTCGGAGTCACAGAAGGCCTTACTCCCGTCGCAGTGTTGTCCAAGCGTGCCCCCATCAGACACTCTGAGTGCATCCACGGCGACGCCCAGCACCTCTGCATCGCTTGGGAGGGATGCCCTTCTCGGGCCCTGCAATCTCCCTCCAGCTACGCCCAGGCTCTTCTTGGATTTGTTTGCGGGGGCTCGCGCGCCTGTCACGTCTGCCATCCTTGCGCTGAACTGCGACTGCTTCCCGCCTGTGGATCTCATCATCGAGGCGTCTCGCAACATCCTCGACGATGACTTCTTTGCATTGCTGTGCCGCGTAGCGGATTCGGGGCTTGTTGGGGCAGCTCTTGCGGCGCCGGTGTGCTCGCTGCGTAGCATTTTACGTCTGCGTCCGGGGGGCCCCAAACCCCTTCGGGATTTTGAGTTTCCCTCCGGACGTCCCGACCTCAGCTGGGATGAGTCCGGACAACTCCAGGAAAGCGCACTGCTGCATGATCGCACTCGACTCTTGCTCTCTCGCGTCGGCGCCTCCGGTGGACTTATAATCCTGGAGAATCCTGCTTCGTCTCTTGACCAGCTCATGATGGACTGCTCGAAGAGGAACTTCGCGAGTCCTGGATTACCGAGTATGCATCTCTTGAGGCAATACAGAATGAGTTTCCTCAGGTTGCATTAGGACGACTTGGCCTTGTGCTTGCGGAAGGTCGCTCCCCCAGACTGGTCGTGGACTCCAGCATCAGCGGCGTCACCTCTTCATCTGTGATCCCCAATCACGTCTCCAATCCTCGCATTGAGGACGTGTCTGGCTGTGCACCCTCCTTTGTCCCGTCGGACCCCTGGATGGGCGCTTCCATCGACGTGAAGAAAGCTCACCGTCGCATGAAGATTGCCCAGCACGAGAGGGCGTTGCTTGCATTCTCCTTTCGGGGGCGCTACTTCGTCAGCAACTGCCTCAACTTTGGCGCCCGTGCCTCATCTTGGTACTGGGCCCGCCTGGCCGGTGCCATACACAGGGTCACACACTACATCATCTTCCTGAAGCATTTTCTTTGGGTCTATGTTGATGACTGGCTGGCTGGGTTTCGCAAGTCCACTGCTCCACTGCATGTGAGTCTGTGGGTGATGTTGCTTCTCTGCATCAACTTGCCAATTTCGTGGTCCAAATGCTCCATTGGCGATCAGATCACCTGGATCGGCTGGAGGATCTCCTTTGATTCATGGACTGTGGAGCTGCCTGATGAGAAGATTCATCGCATCCTAGACCAGCTCGCCTCGGTGTGCAAGCAGAAGCGTGTCAAAGTCAAGGACCTGGAATCCATCATTGGGCGTCTTCTCTGGCTGACAGGACTTTGGCGCCTGCTGCGTCCCTTGCTTCAGCCACTTTACGCTGCTCTTCGCGATATACCTTGCACTATCGTGGCCGTGTCGCCGCAGCTTTGGACCCAGATCCTGGACGCTTGTGGTGATTCAGGGCGCCTCCAGCGCTCCTTGAATCATGCTTCATTCCCGGAAGGTGCACGCCTCACTCGCGCTGGGAATACTGCAATCTCGTCCTTGGCGCAGCTCAAGCGCGTCCCGTTCATCAAGCGTCGCTTGTGGGTCTCCATCCAGGACTCCGACCACCCACTTCGGTGTCTCTCTCCGCTGTCCATTGCGGCTCTGCATTCCTGGTCTGCCATCTTGAGCTCTACACCCTGTGTTTGCAACATCAAGCAAGCTCCTTTGCTGCATCTGGTGGCTGAAGCAGATGCCTTCGCGGATGAGGACATGTGTGGACTGGGAGGGTACATTCAATGGCCCTCTGCTGTTTGCAGATGGTTTCCATCTCCCTGAATCCATCGCAGGTGAAGCAGTTCTTTCCATCCCTGGATGGTTCTCTACAGCCTCACATCTGTGCACTTGAGCTCCTTGCTCAATACTGCCTTCTTGGGATGGCTTCTGAGATGGTGCCGCGCGCACGCCATCAGCTTACTATACCGATGCGCTCCGACAACTCCGGTGCGGAGCTTGCATCAGTGAAAGGGATGTCGTCCGTCAAGATCCTGGGCGAGGTCCTCCTTGCATTTCTTGACTTTCAGCGCAGGAATGGTTTGCATGCCTCCGTTGAGCACATCCCTGGTTACAGGAATGACCTGGCCGACGAGCTCAGCCGTCTTCGAGATGCCTTTTCTCCATTACCTGAGTGCGATCGAATGCATCCACCTCTACACTTCCTGCTTCGCTCAGCAGGTAGGGTTTGTCGCCCTGACTCGGCCAAATGGCCTAAGCCTTGGCGCTGAGAGCGAAACAGTCCGTGCATTG